AAATGAAGGGGAGAAACACAATAGACCCTTCAAGCCTAGTCTACATTACCAGTAAAATCTGAGGAACTGTATTATGAAACAATTCTTCTTGATACGTTTAAATCGTAGTTTTTATGTCACTTAGTGTTTTTGTTTGCATTTGAATAAATAAAGAGAAAAATAGCGATTTAGTGGTGACTGGACTCAGTGTTATTGTATTTATTGCATAGGTGAAAATTATTTTTATGACCCCATTGACATTATTATCTGGATAATGCAATTCTGTTTTAAATTGTTTCTAGCTAACTGTTTGAACCTGCTAGCTCTGCTTGCATTACCAGAGCTGTTGAGTTAAAATACATCTGTTTTGCTCATGCAGCATGTATCAGGGCTGAGAAACATACTTGGATTTGGATTTGAAAGGCATATCCTTTGCATCTCCTGTATTCTGGAACAGCTTGTCTCCATTAAAAAAGGTGATGAAAAAAGAAGAAAAAAAAATGGTTTGCTATTGCTTAAGTTTCAAAATCCTGCTTGGAGAAGCCAACTGGGAGAGGATGGATGTTTAAGACAATCCTCAGGGCATCAGGACCATACATAGGCAGTCAGAGTTGTTGGGTAAATTGTAGGAAACATGCTTTGACAAGACTTCACAGAACTGGAGAGCAAAGGAGTCTGGATAGAGTAAGATTCACTGTATCTGGATGGCTTGCAGAATGTCATGGATAGGAACATGTATGAAGTAAGAATTGAGGGCCAAGTACCTGCCTCTGAACAGAGTGTTTCCTCCTGGGTCCTTGTGACCAGCTGAAGTATTCACTCCTCCTCCCCCTGATGTGTATCAAAGTGGTTATTTTTTTAATTGCATGCTGAAATGAGTTGAAGGCATACTTGTTTCTTGGTACATTGAGGAGAGGCAAAGATGCATTGATGTGATTGTATTCATAAACGTGTAGGGCTGGAAAGGTTCTCCTGGTTCCTCAAGGCAGGTCCCGAACAGGACTGGCGTTGGTTAGGACTTGAAAACATACTGTGGCCTCTTTGCTAAAACACATCTATAAGAAGTCTTGGTCCAACTAAAGCTGTCTGAAACTGGAGCGTGCAGCCCTGGTTCAGATTGTGACTTCTGTGGCTGCTTAAATGGTAGAAGTGGTTGAAAACCATAGGACAGTGGTTATGTAAATGCATATATGTTGGTGAACAAAGTAAAAAGCCTCAATGTGTTTTTCATAGGCAGGGTTAAATTTTTTTTCCATTCTGCCTTCAAAAGTGTCTAATGAAACATTTGGTACTTAAAGAAAATAAATAGTGAGTCTGTATTTTCCTGCCAAATCTATTACCACATGTCGTGGTTGAATAGCAAGCTACTGAAAGGGTCTAGTTTACCACATTGTGGAGGTTCTGTCATTTGATTTAAATGAAGTGTTTCAACCTTTGTATCCTTCTGCAAAACAGTGAAGGAGGGGAAAAGAAGGTGAAACGGTTCTGCTGTAGCAAGAAGCAGAAATAATGTGTAAATAATATCATGCTCAGGTTTATATTTGTTGCCTTTGGAAGAGTAACAAAGTGTGTGCTTTCAGCCTGGTCAGAGGGCTTTCTGGAGGTGGAAGGGATGTACAGCAATCCTATCGCTCTGGTGATTACTGATTTATCCCTTCCTCTTTAACTGGGTTGTACCTGATGTCAGTCACAGCAAACTTTTAACTTTAGTGTGGCTAGAAGTACCACAGGAGCAAGGTGGAGCTCTGAGCTGTAAAAGAGGTGCAAGAAGCTGGGGAAATACTTGGTCCACGATGAATTCTGCTCTGTGTATCTATCTTCCTGCTGTTACCTGAGATAGCAATCAAGTTATCTTTGGTTTTCCTGTGCAAGCTGCAGTGTAGATGTGACCTTAAACAGCACCGAAATGAAAAGGTTCCTTCTCTGTTATAGTAATTTTTATTTTATTAGAACAATAGGGAGAACAGTAGGGGAGAGGGACCTGGGGGTCCTGGTGGACAGCAGGATGACCATGAGCCAGCACTGTGCCCTCGTGGCCAAGAAGGCCAATGGCATCCTGGGGTCTATCAGAAGGGGGGTGGTCAGTAGGTCGAGAGAGGTTCTCCTCCCCCTCTACTCTGCCCTGGTGAGACTGCATCTGGAATATTGTGTCCAGTTCTGGGCCCCTCAGTTCAAGAGGGACAGAGAACTGCTGGAGAGAGTCCAGCGCAGAGCCACAAAGATGATGAAGGGAATGGAGCATCTCCCTTATGAGGAAAGGCTGAGGGAGCTGGGTCTCTTTAGCCTGGAAAAGAGGAGACTGAGGGGTGACCTAATCGATGTTTGTAAATATGTAAAGTGTGAGCATCAGGAGGATGGAGCCAGGTTCTTCTCTGTGACATCCAGTGATAGGACAAGGGGCAATGGGTTCAAGCTGGAACATAGGAGGTTCCACTTGAATATGAGAAAAAACTTCTTCCCGGTGAGGGTGACAGAGCACTGGAACAGGCTGCCCAGAGGGGTTGTGGAGTCTCCTTCTCTGGAGACATTCAAAGCCTGCCTGGATGCGTTCCTGTGTGATCTGATCTAGGTGTTCCTGCTCCGGCAGGGGGATTGGACTAGATGATCTTTCGAGGTCCCTTCCAATCTCTAACATTCTGTGATTCTGTGTGAATTCAGTTCCGCAATGTGAGCACATGTGCCATGATGTTAGGATTGCCCATCTGTGTTACCATAGTGAATGGAAAAACAACCCTGGCAGGTTTTGTGGAGCAGTATATTAGGTTTGGACAAGTCCTACAGTAGGTGACATCCTTGTGGCAGTGCAAAAAAAAAAAAAACAACCTGGCAAGCACGCAGATCTTCTTTTATGGATAAGTATTAACTGTCTGTGGACTGTCTGGCAAGAAGAATTGTTGTAATTAGAGCATATAACTCTTTATCTAATCTTGCTCCTTTTCAACCTTGTGTGCTTTTTTTTCTGAGCATAGATTTGCCTTGCTGTGATCATTGACCACTGTTTGCCCAGGGAATAAGGCCTTGGGGATTGGTGGTCTGTACCTCTCCAACTGGTAAACCCATTCTGCTAGGTAGAATGGGGTTTTTTTAATAATTTCTGCCCCCAGAGTATTTGTTGCCTGACTAATTTTGTGGCCCTACAGTTAAGCAGCAAGATTTCTTTGTGACAGTTGTTAGAGAAAGAGCCTTTTCACAGACCATACAATTTATCTGTATGCACAAGGTCAGCATGAGATTTAAACCCTGTTTAAGACCTTTTTAAGCTCCTTGGGCTTAACTGCTGTGTAGATTGTTGCCTTGCAGAAGTGAAGGAGTTTGACATGGTAAGAATAATGGGTAAATTACTTTTTAGGAGGTTTGGGATTTTTTTGCTTTATTTTACTTTGCAGATATTTTATTTTTGGAAGGGAGACGATGACCTGCTACAGTCTGGGAAATGTGAGCTTGAATTTTGACATATATTCTTTTTGTATGCAAGTCACTTAGGACTCAGAATTACATTGCCAAAATTAGTGGGATCTTTATAGGTTTCTTTGGGATCATGAATGCTTTCTACCTCTGTTTAGGAGTTTTCCGTATTGAGAAGGGAATAATCTGTTTGTACTCAAATGTTGTGGAGGTTTGTTCTTTGCCAGGCTGACCTGAAGACTTCTGGTAGTTTCCAGCTTTTTGAGAAGTCTGAAAAATACATCAGCATAAATCAGCATCTTGACTCTTTAGTTTCTTAAAACAAATGTTTTGCTAATTAAAAGCTGATTAAATGGGTTCCTGACTTTTTGTTACTATGGGAAGAATTTGGTGTGGTTAGATAATGATGAGAAAAATCTAATTCTCGAGTTAGTGTTTTTCTCAGGTTTGGGAACTGAACTGTATAGTTTTCAGGGGTGGTTTTTTTGAGCTTTTTTTTTTAGATTTGAGAAACTCCAGAAAAAAGAAACTCCTGATTCTCCTGGGCCATAAATAAAATATTATCACCAGCTTCATGTGCTTCACTGAAGGGATTTGTCTATGATGATAATTTTCAATATAGGTTGGGGAAATTGTGTTAATGGATGGTTACCTAAAGTAAAACTCTGGGCTGGATTGCTTCCTACCAGCTCTGGGTGAGCATCTCTTCCAGAGAGTAGGGGAGCTCTTCTGGACTCTACAGAGGCCTGCAGGAACCCGGTAAATTACCT